CCCAGCAGAACCCCTAAACTCAGCTGGAATATCAGGCTACAGGAATTACAGCATGTAGGCAAAGGGTACAGGGGGGTGCATAAAGGGTACGGAAAATATGTAAAGGGTATAAAAGTATATAAAAGGGCACATTAAAAGGAAAGGCAAAAATCATCAGGCATCACTGAGAAAATAAAGGGCTGACACCTTCTCCCCTTGTCCATCGGCGTGTGAGGCCCGTGCTGGCAGTGGAGGGTGKGGGATGTCATGCAGAGTAACAGGGCAGGACAGTGATGGTCTCTGTGTTCCCCCAGGTCAACGTGGTGATCAGATCCTCGCTGCAGAGCCTCAGGGAGAAGATCGAGCAGCTGAAGGAGCTGCTGCTGCGGGCGGTGTCCACACGCCAGATGTATCCATGCAAACAGCCCCACTGCCCTGCTGCCTTGTGGGCCCCCGTGCCAAACGGGCTCTTTCTCGGTGTTCTGCTGAGAGCAGAACCGTCCAGATTTTCCCCTCATTCCCTTTGCAGGGGAATTTGTCATCAGAATCTTCTCTGTGCTGCTGGTTGATGTTTTCATGGCAGCTGCCGTGCAGGAAGGGCTGGGCACCTCTGGGTTGTGGGAGTGAGCCTGGCTCTGGTCTCCTCTGGTCACCACAGCTTGACAGGATCTGAGGGGAGCTGAACGAGATGCTCTGAGCTGCCTGTGCTGTGCAGACACTGCTGGGTGTCCTGACTTTCACTGACCTAACAAACAACAGGGCTGCATGTTCAGAGTGATACAAAAGTGCTGCAAGATATCTTTGTAAAACAAATCACAGATTTTCTGTTGGAGGTGTTACCCTGTGGCCTGCCTTGCATTTGCTGCTCCTCCCATGTCAGGGTTAAGGAATCAAAGGTATGTCCATCTCCCTGGAGGCATCCAGGAGCAGTSTGCTTTGAGGGAGCAATGTTTGATTTCAGCCCAGCACAGCAGAAATCCCTGCCCAGCTGAGTGCTGTGCTGATGGCCAGGGCTGCAGCTCCCCTGCCCAGTGAGTGCTCGAGCAAGCAGATGCTGCTGCTGGGGCACAAAACACCARTGCTGAGCTATTGCACAATCCACTCAGAAGCACTTGGGCCAGCGTTAGAAGTGCCTCAGGATGTAACTCAGGTTAATTTGGAAAAGCACACACAGGTCCCTGGTGCAAGCCATGGCCCTTCAAAGGCTCTGTGTCAATTGTTTTTCTGCTGCTCCAGTGGCTGCTGGGTGCTCTGCTCATCAACTGCAAGTGGAAACAGATGCTCAAAGAAGGTTTTTGGTTTTTCTCTGATCACTTGGCTGGGAGCTGCTCCCCTGGTCTGTGTGAGGAGCCTCCAGTGGAAGGAGATGAGAAATACCCTGCTGGTTTTAATGGCTCTCTTCTGTTTGGTCCTGTCCTGGTGGTGACAGTGTAATTTGGAGCTCTTTTAAGAAATCTCATCCTTCTCTAAGCTTAACCTGTACGGCACTGTTACACTGGCAGTGTTAGAGGAGAGACAGCTGCTTGGGACTTCTATATTAAAGAAATAAAGAACACATTATGTTGGATTTTGGAGGGGGAAATGCTACTCTTAATGCTCTTTTGGCAGTAAATRTCYTTCCAGTTCTCTTAYTACTCTGAGATGAAGAATGAAGACYATTCTGYAGTTGCTGTATGGAACTTWTTGTTCAAAATCTGTAMAKRCCAGAAACACATTTAGAATAACAGCAGATTTCATCCAGAAAAATGTGAGCAATCCTCTTAGACCCTTTTTTGAGTTAAAATTGTTAATTTTGATGATCAGGAGGTCTGATTTATTTTAAGAATGTGTAGCAGGTATTATTTTATGTAATGAAATGAAAACTTTTCCGTGTTTCTGAGTTTGGTCCTTAACCCAGAGTYGGCAGCACGCAGCTGGAGGGAGACAGGAGGCAGAATTTGGTGGATGAGCTCCTCACACGGCACAAACAGCTYGAGGCATCCTACAGGAATGAAGGGCCGGAGCCAGACATGACCAGGTATGGCACTGTCCCCTCAAATCAGTGGGATCTGGGCTCTGAGTGTGTCTGAGGTAATGGCTGAACTCATTTCCCCTGCAGGGAGCAAAGGGAGTTTCATTTGTTTGGAAATGCTGTGATGTTGTCAGTGACAACACATCCTTGTGAGTTCTTGGGGCTGGGCACTGATTGTGGTGACAGTCCCTGCAGCAGCCCCATGGCTGATTTGGCCAGGCCCTGGTTTTGGTGACATGGGGCAGGTCCCTGCAACAGCCCCGTGGCTGTTTTGGTTGGCCCTGGTTTTGGTGATATGGAGAAGGTCCTTGGGCCAGGTTCTGGTTTTGGTGACGTGGAGATGGTCCCTGCAGCAGCCCCATGGCTGTTGGTGCCAGACCCTGGTTTTGGTGACAGGGGGACAGTCCCTATAGCAGGCCAGTGGCTGCTGGGGCCAGACTCTGGTTTTGGTGGGGTGGTCCCTGCAGCACCCCAATGGATGATTTGGCCAGACCCTGGTTTTGGTGACATGGGGACAGTCCCTATAGCAGCCCCGTGGCTGTTGGGGCCAGACTCTGGTTTTGGTGACATGGGGACAGTCCCTGCCCAGCCCCAGGCTCTGAGGCTGCTGGGGCTGGGCAGGGGCTGTGCTGTGCCCTGGGAGCCCTGCCCAGAGCTCAGGTGTGCCCGGAGTCACACTGGGGCTGAGCCCAACTTTCTTCCAGCCCTCTGGGTAGTGGGACTGTCCTGYTGCAATGTGCACATGACACAGAAATACATGGGTTTTTAAAGTTTTAGTTTGTGCTTCTCCATGGCAGCATTTGCAATACCCTGCATTGACAGGACTCCTCCTGCAGCAAGGGCCCAGCCCTGCATTTGGCACAGGGAAGGTCACCTGAGGGAGGGCACTGCTGGAGCCCTGCTGAGGGTGTTTTCACCTCACTGCCATGTGCAAGGTGTGCAGGCAAACAGGAGGAAAACATCAAAACCCCGTGATAATTTCAAATTAGAAATGATCAGAGAATCCAGTATTTTCCAGCACAAGATAATATCAGAGAGAGTATTTATTTGCCAGTGTTGCAAGGCTTGATGTTTTATAGTTCTCTTTTATCTTCTTTTATTAAAAATGGATAAAACCATGCCAAATATTCTGTTGGTGAATTCCCACCCTTTCCATGGTCTCCCTTGTGAAACCCCTGGTTTTCAGGGATAAAAGCAGAGATCATCAGGGCCTCAGTCTTGTGCCAGTAAATTCAACTTTTCTCTCCTGCCTGAGCCTGGGCTGTGYGTGGGTCTGTAGGGAAGGGGCTTGGAGGGAGCTTGCAAAAAGCTTGGGGGGATCTTGGAAGGAGTTTGGAGGGGATTTGGAAGGATCTTAGAGGGATCTTGAAGGATCTTGGAAGGATCCTGGCAGGAGCTGGTGTTAGGCACGGAGCCCCTGGGGTCTGTAGGGCTCAGCTGCCCTTCCCAGCTCGGGGTCCCTTTGAAATCCCTGCAGAGTCCTGGCCCAGCTTTGGGATTCTGGAGTGGCAGAGCCCACCCTGGAATGTGCCTGGAGCTGAGGCTCAGCTTTTCCCTGCATTAGAGAAATCAGCACCTGCAGCTTGATGAAGCCCAGCAGTGCCACTTGCCCRGTTTGTGCTGCTTTTCCACGWGTGCTGCAGCCCTGCTGTGACAGCCCTGGCTGCCCAGCTCCTGTTCCTGCACAGCCCTTCCTTTCATTAACCTTCCTGCACCACTGATCACATATTTATTGTCCCCGGGGCTGGGGCTGCCAGGCTTCCCCTGGAATTAATCTGCTTTACCTTCGGTCAGCACTCGGGGAGTTTCACATCCTTTGAAAGCTGCTCTAAAGTTCTTTCTGGGGTGCAGGGCTGTGCTTTAAYGCTCTCAGGGTTGATCCCAAGTGACAACTGCGGGCAGGACGCTCCCTGGCTCGGGGACAGCGCTGCTGCCCCTTCCGGCCCTGGCGGCCCTAATTAAGGTGCTGCTGGAATTTCCCAGGGAAAGGTTGAGCTTTGTGTGACTCCCCCTGAGCAGGGCCAGTTCCATTTCCTTTAATTGGGTTTTAATAACGATTCCAGCATCTTCTGCCCCTTTCCTCC